ATATTGTACATACATGGAATATAACTTATTCTAATTAGGATCCCGTTCTTGTGGTTGTACATGCTGTGGAGTTTCACTGGTCCTGTATTCATGTATGAATATAGGAAAGTTAAGTCTGATTCATCCCACTGTCTTTCCCATCCCATCCCTTCTCTTCATTCCCCTTTGTCTAATCCAGTGAACTTTTATTCTTCCCTCCCTCCCCCTTATTGTGTGTTCACATATCAGAGAGAACATTAGGCCTTTGGGTTTTGGGGATTGGCTTATTTCACTTAGCAGATAGTCTCCAGTTTCAGCTGCAAATGCCATAATTTCATTTTTCTTTATGGCTTAGTAATATTTAATTATGTGTTTGTGTATGTATGTATATGTGTGTGTGTGTGTCTGTGTGTGTGTATATATATAATCACATTTTTTAAATGCATTCATCTCTTGAAGGGCAACTAGGCTGGTTCCATAGCTTAGCAATTGTGAACTGAGCTGCTATAAACATTGATGTGGCTGTATCACCATAGTATGCTGACTTTAAGACATTTGGGTATGGGTCAGTGTCTTTATTAAAATCCTGGGAGACATTTGCTTTAACACTGAACCTTCTAGATCAGCCCACAGTGGAAAGCTGTGGAACTCTGTGGCATAGAGGTAAATTACATGACCCTGGGCATTTGAAATTGATCTTAAGATGCTGGTATCATCTTAACTGCTTTTGTACTATTTTACAAATCATGAAGAGGAAATGAAGGTAAATATAGCAATTACTATGTTTAAATAGAAAAAAATAAAAATACCAACCAAAATTATCTCCCTATTTTTATAGCTTTAAAAATCCCTACAATGATTGCATACCTTCATTGTTTCTAAAAATCAGTTACTAGTATCTTTCATATAAGGTTATAAATCCTTGACCATCTATCCATGGTTCAATTTAATTGACAATTTTTTAAAATGCCAGCCAAATTGTGTGAAGGAATTATTGTGTTACTTTTACAACATAAATACTCTATTTTGCTGAATTTAATCCCTTTGATCTAATTTACTTTGAGTTTTGAAAAAGATGCATGTTATTATAGTAATATCTAAAACTCTAGAGCTGAATTTATATTGAAGTCCTGAAATAACCCTTCTGCTTTCTGCACTCAACTTCTGGAAGGATGGATGTGGCTGTTCTCCCTTGGGAGCCACAGCCAAGGCACTTGTGATGGTGATTACTTCCAAGTCTAGTGCTTTTGTTCTGCCATGATAAGGAATTAGGTAAAGAATTGTCCAGAGGGGTTGGGGATGTGGCTCAAGCGGTAGTGTGCTCGCCTGGCATGCGTGCGGCCCGGGTTCAATCCTCAGCACCACATACAAAAAAAGATGTTGTGTCTGCCAAAAATTAAAAGAATAAACAAATATTAAAAAATTCTCTCTCTCTCTCTCTCTTAAAAAAAAGAATTGTCCAGATGTTTATGGTCTGAAATGTTTCTGACATCCATTCATTTGGTGGTTAGTATTGATGCACAAGTATTTATTGACTGTCTACCATGAGCAAGGCTTACAGCGAGGATCTGCTGAGTGATCCAAGCAAAGGTCTTTCTTTTATTATTATTATATTTTTTGGTTGTAGTTGGACACAATACCTTTTTATTTTTATTTATTTATTTTTATGTGGTGCTGAGGATCAAACCCAGGGCCTTGCACATGCTAGGTGAGCGCCCTACCACTGAGCCACAACCCCACCCCCCAAGCAATGGTCTTTTGCAAAGACCGAGAATGTTACTTAGCATCCTGCCAAAGGTATTGAACAAACATACCTGCCATCATGTGACCTAAATGGACAGAAAAGGATTGTAAGAATTTATTTTCCTTTGCTCGGTCACTAGTATCTTCACTTATAGTCATAGTTCTAAGTTATAAACTTATGTTGGTGAATTGAGAAGTTCACTTCTATTGATCTTTCTAGTCACCCTCCAATGACCTATGTGTATGGAGTGTGCACTGAGATAAAGTCGGGAAGGTGTTCAATTTGGTGTCCTTGCTCCACATACCTGCTTTAGGGATGTTGTTTCTCACTACAGAATCAACCAATGCCTGTTCCAAACCCACTGCACAAACACAATTATAACCTGTATCATATCAGTGATAATGTTTTGTTGTTGTTGTTTATTACTTTACTTTATTTACATTTTGTGGTCTCACCTGGGCGAAGAGCCAAATCTTTTTATATCCAGCAAGTACCTGGCTCACATTAGACAGTCCAAAATATTGATAAATGTTGACACCCTACCTTCATGCTTGAACTCTCACTGTAATTTTCTTCTCTTTTATTTTTTTTTTCAAAACAATTTTCCTCCTGCCTGATCTCATGCTTCTCTTCCTCACCTGTCCCCAGCCTCACTTTCCACTCTTCCCATATCTGGGAAACTTCTATACACTTCAGGCCAGAACTGAGCAATCTCTAGAATTCTTCATCCACCCTAGGAGGCCTCCAGAAGATTACTGCCTCTTCTCAGCTCTTAAGCTGTTCCCTAATGTTTCTGTCACAGCATTTAGCACACCGTGTTGATTGTTGCCTACCCACTTATACCAGGAGAAACCCCAGGAGTGAAGAGACCATATCTTATTCACCACTGAGTACCCAGTGCATAATAGTCACTCCATAATATTTATTGAATAAAATAATGAACGGGCATGACTGTTGGAGTGCATCTTCTTTATAATTAGACAAATTATTTTATGAATTTAGCACATTTTGAGGGAAATTAGTGAAATTTCCAGTAACTATTTTTATATACTTATTCTTCCCTCCATTCTACCTGAAAACAAATCCCAAGAAAATTCATTCCTACATCCAGCCCATCCCTAGGCATTCACTCAAGAGCATGTTCTAGAATAAAGGTCTTCATCCGTTAATGTTGTTGTAACACAATTCCTCAGACTGGGTGACTTATAAACAACAGAAGTTTATTTCTCACAATTCTGAGGCCGGGAAGTGTAAGATCGAGGTGCCATCAAATTCAATATCTGGTGAAAGGATGCTTTCTGGTTAATAAATGATGCTTTCCTCATGTGTTCCCACATGATGTATAGAGGAAGGCAGCACTCTGAGGCCTCTTTTAGAAGTGCACTATTTCCACTTGTGAGGGCCCCACCTTCATGACCTACTCACCTCTGTTACTAGTGCTTAGTGCATTCGTGATCGGGTTCCAATATATGATGTTCGGGGGCCACAGAAACATTTAGTCTATAATAGATATTTAGCCCTAAATTATAGCCAAATAAACATACACAAATACCACATCTAAGCCAAAGCTTAAGACTTTATAATAAACCAAAATATAGAGAGAAATTTCTACTGAATGAAGCATCGCCTCTACAAATGACATTTATGTTCATTTAATAGACAATGTGGGGAAATGACTCATGGTTCTGCAAATTGGCTCTGTTAACTCCAAGATGTGCCATTTGCATAGACTAAGACATGAGCATTACCCCGGGATGTAGCAGTTGTAGTAAAGCTCTAGCCTGGGTAAGTGACTATGGGAAAAATCCACTCTCTTCTTCTGCAGGCTTGGAAATAAACAATTTTATCTTCTGGAGAGAAGGAATGTTTGAAAAGGAAGTTAACCATCAGTCAGCCTTTTCCATCATTTTTATAAAAAATTCCTCTCCTTTAACAAGACTACAGAAAGCCAAGCTCCCAAGGCTGCAGGTCTAGTGCACAGAGGAGATGCTAATTGCACTTGTGCTAGTTGATGGATGTATCACAAAGTTTACATTTAGAGCAAAATGCAGAACATGATGTCATGGCAGAGTACTCCACTTACTCTGTCACAATAGTCTTTCTTTTTCTTTTCTTTCATACTTAAATTTTAAATGTTCAGAAAGTATAGTTCAAGATTTTATTTCAATTAAAGTTTTAGTGAATAGACTAACCTAATCATGAATTAGAAAATTTGCAGATTTGTAAAAAAATAAAAAAATATCATACAGACAGGATTTTCAGGCAACCACTTAATAACCATCCCCTGAATATTATAGTCCACATTCTCACTTTATTTGACCTTATGCATAACAGTGTCCAAATATAAAAAAATAAAAAGATGAGGAGGGATATTTTGTCTCTCAACCTTTAAAAAAGATGATGTCAGTGTTTCTTGCCAATGTTCTAAATAACTGGATTGGAAAATTAAATAATTGAAATTTTTGCATCATCTTTTCAAAGAATGAGAGTGAGAGGGAATATCCCTTCTCATCTTTGTACTTTTTTGGATGATGTTGGTACATTAGGTTAAATAAAGTTAGAAACTAGATTATAATAATAATATTCAGGAGATGATTATTAAGTGGTTCTTGAAAATCCTGTCTATATGATATTTTCGTTACAAGACTACAAATTTTCCAATTCATGATTAGACTAGTTAGTTTACTCACTAAAGCTTCATTTGAAACTTAAAATACTGCATATTTGATAATATTAAGGAATTATAACTTATGGGTATGATATTTTCATTATGATCATGACTTTAAAATATCTCATCTTTTAAAGATACCTCAAATATTTAGGAATAAAGTTATATGATGAGTCTGACCCTTTTTTTTTAAATAATAAAGGAGGATGCAAAATAAAATAGATATTTATTTAAGCCAACAGATAAAACAAGACTGCCTTGAATTAATCATTGTTAAAGCTATGTGACAATTACCTTGGAATGTTTCATCTTATAGTATCAACTTGGAATGTTTAAAATTCACCATATAATGTTTAAACAAGATGGACTTTTTTTTTTCCTCCTCAAATAGGATGAACAGTTTAAGCTGAGGCAAAATAAATGTTTTTCATTTTCCTAAGCAAAGTAAAATGTTTAGAGTGCCAGTTTATGGGTCTCTCTCTCCCTGGTGTTACGGTAGCTTGTAGCAATTGTTTAGATGTATCTTCTTTGACACTGATTTAATTAACTTCTCTTAACATCTATTCAACTAAATGTATGTGTCTGAGAAGCATTTCGTGTTTTTTTTAGGATTGTGGAAAAGGGATATTATAGTGAGCGAGACGCTGCAAATGCCGTCAAACAGATCCTGGAGGCAGTCGCTGTAAGTAAGAAATAACAGCAACCCTGTGCTTGGCTCTTCATCACCTCTTTGTTTTACAGAATCGTCAGTTAAGAAGCACAGACTGTAATAAGCTTCCCCATTTCTTGAGTTTGTTTCCTTCTTGTTTCATCATTTTTTAATTTGGTGTGGAAGTGGAGAAAGGTTGGATGTGATAAATATAGACCCTGGAGCATAGAGATGATTGATTTTTCATCAAGATGAGAAATGACTGAATTGGGAAGAAAAAAATTGTGGCAATTTTATTTTTTTCCAAGGAAGACATACAAATTAAAAATTTACACTGGATATGAATTTTACAAAGTTATGATAGAAACAAATAAATACAAATTTACATATATGTAATTTCGAGAAGCTTGTTTGGATATCGGGAAATATTTGCCTAGATAAAACAGACTATGCTGGTTAAAACCTTCCCATATGTTTAATGGTGTCTAACACATGCTAGGACACCTTGGTGATTCATTTACTGAGTATGAACCCAAAACAACTTTTTTTTTTCCTGAACAAAGAGAACAGAGCCCAAGGGAGGATGGATATCATAGTCATTTAAAAAGCCAAATATATAAAATATGGCCAGAATCAAAATATACGATATTATTCAGAGTTAGTTATCTAACTAAAATTCAAATCACCCAGTGATACAAGCACATGTCCTATTATACCCACAGCAAAAACCAAGGGAGCAAAGAAAGGAGAAAGGAAGTAAGGCAAAGAGAAACAGAGAGTAGGAGGGAGGAGGGGACCAAGGAGGGACCCTGATATCTAACTAACTTACACACCAATCATGAAAAGAAGAATCAAGTTTCACAATATTTGCATAGAGCCATAGAAATTACCAGTGTATATGTTCTAACCAAATCCATTATTGAACTATCAACACCAGGTTTAACTTACTTTATAGCTCAGTCTTTCCAAATAACACCTTCCTGTAAAAGCATTAGGTCTTTTTGCAATAGTGAGGAATAAAAAAGTTTGAAATAAGAGTAAACAACACGGGAAAGGATGCCACAAATTTTTACATTTGAAGGAACAACACAGCTCCTAATTATATGAGTATCTAATATCAAGTTCATATTCTCACTATGCCACTTCATTCCAGGTTTTTTTTTTTTTTATCACCCTGGTTTCCTAGACTTGCAAACTTGTGAATAATTTCAACTCTTCCATTCCCTTCTCTTCTCCCATTTACCTTTCCAAATTCATTTGAATCTTCCTTCAAACATCCATAAACCTAATCCTACTCCTCATCATGCTATGAATGTTTCTGGCATAGAATTTTTTTAAAAAAAAACACTTCTATTTGCTTCCAATTTCTATTCTTAAATATGTAAGTCTAGAATCATCTCTTGCAATCCCTATTTTTATTTTGTCACTTCTTATTTCAATAGTGGTAGTTCATGGACCTCTTAAATACCTATTTTAAAACTACACTTTTCCCTACTATTATTCACCATAGTTTATCTATTCAAATAAACAAATGGCTATGATCCACATCACTTTGTCCAAATCTGACAGGCAGCCGTTAAGGGTACTTTGAGAGTCAAACAGAACTGAGTTCAATTTATAGATATATGTGCATGGACACATCACTAAATACCCTTGAGCCTCAAATTCCTCTTATAAAATAAGCGCAAACATTCAACCTAACAGTGTTGTGGAAAAGATTAATTGAGACAATGTAAGGAAGTCACAGAAATGTTTCAATAAAGAGGGCAAAATAGGTGAAGAATTTTCAGATTCAGAATATTCATTTAAAGATTTAACTGATATCGTAAATCTATTCAAATATTCCTATTTCCTAAGTACTAAAATAAATAAAAACAATTGTGTGATAGTGTGTTCCATGATCTGGGTGCTGATTGCACAGATAAGTGCAGTTGTGGAAAGTCAGTAGGCTTTGTTTACTGACCTCTATATATATTATACCAATACAAAGCTTTTTTTAAAAAAGTGTGCTGAAAACTTTGTATGAATATAAAGTTATAACAGGTCATCAATGCTCGAGTTCACATGCCATGTATGTGTATTTGCAATTTACTTGAATATGTTTTAAATTTTATCACATACTATTTTTCAGACAGATTATTTTTCTTCCTGGGACAAAAGTGTGTTATGCTCTGATCTACATGAGATAGTGATCAAGGAATGTGATAGGAGAGGGACAGTTGCCCCTCAGGCTGCCACCCTCCTCCCCATATGACATTCTACTGACAAGATATTTCAGGATGGGGTAATCTTCAGAATAATTGTTCTGAGAGCTTCTAGTGTGCCTGTCAGTGTACTTAACAACAGCATGCAGACAATCAGGTGGTTATTGCAAAGACACAGAATTATGTGAAGAATCCTGGCCAGGCAGCATGGAAGGTAGTCAGGACTCTCTTCTCCCATTGCTGTTTGTTTGTTTGTTTTTCTCATTATCTGCTTTCCTCTTCTCTCTTCCAACCAACTTTCTCTTCTCAGACTCACAAAGTGACATTTGGTCAACTTAACATTCCTGTGTTAGCATATTACAATAAAACTGAAATTGGATGTAAATATTATTTGATCCTAACTCCAAATTTCAAGACAAAAGCTGCATTTGGATTTACTCAACTCTATCCTAGCATCCTTCCCTCATCCAACCAATTATAAACAGGATGGGAATTTTGTAATAAAAGTGGCCAAAGGAACCAACCTGGGATGGGGAAGAAGGGGCTGTTCAAAGGGAAAAGGCTGGTTGTCTAGTGGTTAGGATTCGGCGCTCTCAGAGGGAAAAGGGCAATTATTTCTTGTGAGTGAGTCTGACACATTAAACATACCTTTTGCTACTATCTCTTCTAGTATTTTTTTTTTTTTTGCTGCTACTAATTATTCATGTTCCTCTCCATTCCTGATTTTTCACTGCATTCTAAAATGGTTGGTAATAATACATATCTCTCTGTAATAACACTGCATGTAAATGGTCTCAACTCTTTAATTAGAAGTCAGGCTGGCATTGTGGATTAAAAAACAACGTCCAACCATATGTTGTTTGCAGAAGAGTCATATTACAAGCAAAGAAATCCACTAGCCAAGAGTGAAAGGATGGAAAGAATATTCCATATAAATGAAGACCAACAGTAAGCAGGTATAGCTGCTTTCATATCTAACAAAGCAAACTTTGAAGGTCTCTTGAAACAAAGAGGGTCACTTCATGGTGGTAAAGGAAACAATCTAACAAGATGATATAATGATAATAAATATTTATGCCCTAAATGTTGGTGCATGTAATTACATAAAACAAATACTACTCAATATAAAGACTCAGAAACTCCAGTATAATAATATTGAGTCATTTCAACATACTTCTTTCACCAATAGTTACATCACCCAAATACAAAATCATTGAAAACTCTTCAGAACTAAATAAATATAAATCACATGATCCTAACAGATATCTATAGAATATTTCACCCAAAGACAGCTGAATTTTCCTTCTTCTCTGCTGCCTATGGAACCTTCTCCAAAATATACCATATTTTAGGACACAAATCAACTCTCAATAAATGTAAAAAAAATCAATATAATTCCTTACATCTTATCAAAGCATAATGGAATGAAATTAGAAATTAACAGCAATAAAAAACATAGAAATTACATACATACATACATGGAGATTGAATAAAGCAAATTTGAACAAAGAAGGGACAATGAAGGTAATTAAGGGAGAAATATAAAAATTCTTAGAATCAAATGAGAGTAGAGATATGCCAGCATCTGTGGGAAACAATGAATGTAATTCTAAGAGGAAAGGTCCTAGCTATTAGTACCTGTGTTAAAAAAATCAACAAATAAACAACCCAACAATACATCTCAAAGTTATAGAAAAACAAGGAAAAATTATTTCTAAAATCAGTAGAAGGAAGGAAATAATTAAGATAAATGCTAAATTAATGAAATAGAAAATTTTAAAAAATAATACAAAGAATCAATGAAGCAAAATTTTAATTCTTTGAAAAGATAATAAGATTGATAAACTCTTAGCCAAAATAACCATTAGAGAGAGAAAACCCAAATCTAGAAAAGAGATGAAAAAGGAGATATCACCACAGACATGCCTGAAATCCTAAGATCATTAGGGACTACTTTGATAACTTCTATACCAATAAAATGAAAGACAGAAAAAAATGGATAGATTTCTGAACACATATGGCCTACAAAATTGAATCAGGAGATATAGAAAAACTAAACAGATCAATAATAAGCAATGAGATAGAAACAATAATAAAAAGCCTTATAACAGTGAAAATTCTGGGACTGCAATGATTCCCCAATGAATTCTACCAGACCTTTAAAGAAGAACTAATGCCAATGCCCCTCAAATTATTGCATGAAATAGAAAAGGGGACACTACCAAATTCATTCTAGGTGCATTTTTGAATAATAGTATGTTGTTTGCCGTAAAAACATTTGGGGGTATGATTTCATTTTGGCGGAAGCCCTAATTATTTATCATGTAAGAACTAACCTTTCTGTGAACAACTAAGTCATTCCCCACATTCCCATACTTCCATATTCTTTATAAGTCAAACTGTTTTACAGTAGATGTATGTAATTATTTTCTCATTCACTGATACAAGCATAGAACTTTTACAATGTTCTTTCAATCTCTTTCATCTTGGTGCATGTTGCTATCATGCAACAATTGTTGGCTAAAATTCTAGAATTCACTCTCCATTTGTTTACCTCACATCCCAATAATCTACAATTCACAACATAAATTTGACCATTTTTTCCTCATCTTTACTAACCCTTGGCTTTAGTCCCCATCATCTCCTGTTCATAATGCTGCAAAACCTTCTAATTGGTGAATGTACATCCATTAACTAAAGTCCATTCCCCTTGTATCATTCAGAGTTATTATTTAAATCACAAATCTGCCAAACATAATGGCACACACCTATAATCCCAGTGGGTCAGGAGGACAAGACAGAAAGATTGCAAGTTTGAAGTTAATCCCA